GGAGGCAGTATGACCTCTGAAACGTTGGTTAACATCGACCAGACTACACAGCGCAACAACCCAGAAGACGGATATCTTCAGAAAATTATTCTTTTGCGATCCTTTGCCAGCTATATGTCAAGGCTATTTTCTGCAAAATTTGGTCTAAGCGGGTGACGGCGTCACGATAATTAATTGTGGCGAAAGTCACAGACGACACTTTTTGTACTCCATTAAAAAGTAGGATCGTATTCCGGAAAGGAACAATTTTTCAGTTATATGATCACCCGTTAAATGCAGGAAAGTCGAAATTCAAAGTGAAATTTGCAAACAGACAAACAAACTGACTAACAAAGCATAAACATGCATACAAATGTGCCTAATAGACATCTTCCGTCACACATTTAACATCGCGGTTGGAATTCAGTGCTTTTAAATCGCCTGTAAACATTTACGTACCACAGTAATCAACTCCATCCAAAATTTTTAATGTTACCAACTAATTTTTGCGAACTTTTCTGAGAAGATATAAAGTTTATAATTCTAGCTGCTTGCAACATCTGAGAAGTTTCCTGGTTCAAATATTCATGTAGATTAATATTTTAATATTTTCCGTCAAATCACAATTTTTAATAAGATAATAAAATATTTAAAATATCATTTCACGTTCCGCATCGAATGATCGATTTACAAATTGGACCGTAAATCGATCATTCGATGCGGAACGTGAAATGATATTTTAAATATTTTATTATCTTATTAAAAATTGTGATTTGACGGAATATATTAAAATATTAACCTAATTCACAATATGACGCAAATATACTACCTCATGTAGATTAATTAATCGCGTTAGGCCCGAGTAGAAACTGAATTCAGTAAATGCAAATCGATCCTTTTTGAAAAGTTAAAATGCTAATCCATTAAGCTTAGGCCTAGAGCAAGGACTTATCCACCAAAAATAATTTAAATAGAATGCTCTTATAATGACAGCTCAAATTATAGTTGTCTCAGGGGTGCGTAAGGCTGTATAATGCGACAGAAGTTCATTAGGCCTAATCATAGTGATTTGTGTAGGTTTTTTACCTGTCCAAAGCGTTGGAATAAATCTTTCACGTGCGGTTTCCTTGTAACACTTTTTGAAATGATGCTCAGGGCTTAACAAAGCCAGTCAACGAAGTATTTTGTCGGTCTGTTTTGTTTTAACGCAGATGGCGTTGGTACGAAGGTCTCTCCGAACGCGACACTTTCGAGTTTTGAAGCCAGGATACAGGAAAACGATTAGAAGGAAAACTCAGTTTGCAAGTTCGCGTTATACGTCTCTGCTGCAATAATCCCGACACGTGTGCGATGCAACGAGCCGTCCACTGAAAGTGACTCATTCTGTGTTGTGCAGTTCACTCGTAATCAGTTGTTTTAAAATAATTTTATGTCGTGTTTGTTATGTAATGGTAAGTTGAGCAGTTACGACCTTACTCTCGTGGAGGAAATTTCTGGCGAGTAGAATTGTCAAACTGGCGAAATGAGCCGATTCCGTTGACTTGTGTATACCCGCATCACTGAGTATTTAAATGAGCTGTATCAACTTAAATATGCAAAGCTGTGTCTCAGCGATTTTGATGGTGGTGTTTTATCATAAACAAAATTATTATTTTTTTGAATTAGTCATAATCGTACTTTTTTTTCTAAACGATTACTTTCGGGAAATGGATTTTTCTTTTATCAGCTAGGCCTAACAGGAGAGACGCACTCCGACTTTCCGACTGTTACCCCGCGTTGCAACAAAGAACTCTGCAATGCAAGGAATAAGTAAGTTTCTTTACTTTCGAAATGTATATTTTAAAACTTGGTTTATTAGTAGGTGCACTAATTAATCGAATAAATTACTCAAATTTATATTCCTCTGGTTTGCTATCTGCACTATGTCCAAATCTGAAGAATCCTTAAATATAAATTAAGTAAAGTGTCGATTTAACTCAATTTTAACTCCGTTATTCCACGTGTCCAAAATATGTCGCTTGTTCGTGTATTGTCACCGAATTGTAAAGCGATTCGGACGCCCGCGGGTGTTCATGGCGGTTTCAGCGTCCGTCTTCGTCCATATCAGACGACCCGAAGTCGTGATTCAACTGTAGAGGCTCAGACATGCAATCAGTGTAATTAACTTTCACTGTGCCTAATTGCCTCGGTTCGCGTCTTCATTTCTTAAACAAGAATACCTTTGAAGATTTCTGTCTTCTGGGTTGTTGCGCTGTGTAGTCTGGTCGATGTTAACCAACGTTTCAGAGGTCATACTGCCTCCGTCATCAGGGCGATGAGTATGAAGATTTCTGTCTTCTGGGTTGTTGCGC